ATTCTGATCTTCTGAGCTCCTATCAGAATCACCCATTAAGCTCTACTTACAAAATTCTGAGTCTTCTCCAGCCTGAATTACTAGAGTTTTCTAAACTCCTCCTACAAACAAGTTCCAAAAGTTTCTGAACCACACCAGCAAGTTAGTCACTCACCCTACTTCTATTATCCATTTCTGTGTTAGTTGGCTTTTTGGGGCTATAAACACCTAACAAGATCAACTTAGAGGAGGAAAAGTTTATTTTAGTTTCATAGTTTGAGATGTCTTGGTTTACAGTCAACCAACACCATCGCTCTGGACCCAAGATGAGGCAAGGTGGAAGGGCATGGTGGAGGAAAGCTGCTCAGCCAATGGCAGCCAGAAAGAGAGAGAGAGAGAGAGAGAGAGAGAGAGAGAGAGAGAGAGATCAGTGGACAAAAATATTGCCAAGGGCATGCCTCTAGTGACCTAATTCCTCTAGCCATGCCCTACTTGCCTACGTTTACCACCTAGTAATCCATTTAAATTATTAATTGAATGAATTAAACCACTGACCAGTGTATAGTTTTCATAATCTAACCATTTCACCTCTGAATGTTGCTACATTGTCTAACATGAGCTTTTCTGTGAGGGACACCTCATAGGCAAACCGTAACAGCCTGAATCCAATCTGGTTTCTTCCTTTCCTCTTCCTCTTCCTTCTTTCTTGTTACCAGTGATTGAACCCAGGGATGCTTAACCACTGAGCCATGTCCCTAGACCTTTGTATTTTTTATTTTGAGACAGGAAATCGCTAAGTTTCTTAGGGCCTTGCTAAGTTGCTAACATATGATCCTCCTGCCTTAGCCTCCCAAGGCACTGGGACTACAGGGGCCGATTAGTTTCTTTATAAGAAGAGGAAATTAGGACACCCAGAAGACACCAGAGATCCCCGAGTCCAGGGGGGCCTGGTAGTTCATGATTTCTAAGAGGGAAAGGTTATGTTAGTACTAGAAGCAATTGTATGAAGCTAGTTTGATTTCAATCCTGATGCAATGAAGGGTCACATAAAAGAAAGAGGACCACTGTATTGCTATCATTGTAGTGACTACTGCTGATTGAGGGCTGACTGTGTGCTAGGTTCCTTCCTGACTCCTTGACATGCATTGAGTCATCTCATCTTCACACAAACTCTAAAAGATTATCACTCATTTTACAGATGAGAAAACTGAGGCATAGAGAGGCTGAGAAAGTTGTTCAAGGTCATAAGTTTGTACATGACAGAGCCAAGATTTGAATTCAGGCAGTGGGTCTGGAGCCTGTGCTTAACTCCTGCCCTCTGCCTCCTTTAATATGTCTCCCTCTGCCTTCAGAATGTTTTTTTTCTGCACATTTAGATTTGTTACTCCCTGACATGCTGGTGCAAGTTTTTACCTTACCTATTAGTAAAAAAAAAAAAAAAAAAAAAATTACCTTTCCTGCTTTTTTTTTTTTTTCCTTTTTTTTTTTTTTACTTTTTAAACTTTTTTTTACACCTATATCTAGAAAATTTGTATCAGTTCTTGTTTCTCAGTTTTCCCTAACTCAATTTACTTATTTATTATTGTCACTCTAATTTCCTATACTGTCTTCTGTTCTCATGCTTACCTGTACTCTATAGCTAGAATTCACTCTTCAAGACCAAGTCTAAATCCTACCTTCCCCATGCAGTTTTACATGAACTTTGTCTTTTGAAACTTCCATTGCATGCAAAACTCATTTAGGAATTAATAATTTACCTTCTTATTAAAATTCTTCTTTTGATGACTCAATAGTCTCTAAGCATCCTTTGAAGACTTAATTTCTCATCAGTTTCATGTTTCATCATCAAAATAGATTTAATTCACTGAGGCTAGGGATAAAAATATCTACTACCTACGGTACTTTGAACAAAATGAAAATGCAGTAGAGATTTATTAATCTGCTTTTAGCTGATTTGAAAAAAAAGGAACAATCTAGGTTGAAGAAGGAAAGAATAAATGTGGTCATTCTAATTAAGAGCCAGCCTCTTGCTGAATATATTATGTATGTTAGTTCATTTAATCCTGATGTTACTATAAGGTAATTACTGTTATTATTCTCATTTAATAAATGAAAGAAATGAAGGTTAGAGATATTATGGAGTTTGTCCAAAGTAATATAATTCGTAAATGTTAGGGCTATGATTTAGAAGTGTGGTGATATGCTAACCTGAAGAATTTTATAGCAAGGAAGGATTTCGATAGGGTGAATTATCAGAAGAGATAACACAAATTGAACTCTAAAAGTTCTGGTAGCCATAAACTAGAACTTGGTCACCAAAATCTGTGTTCTTCTTGGGCACATAAAATCTTCTTGGGCACATAACTAGACTGCATTTCCTGGAATCTGCTCCAGGTAGGGGTGGCCTAAGCACTAGCCAATGGAAAGTGAGTGCAAATGGTGGAGGATGTGATTTCTTGGTTTGTATGTTCCTCTAATTAAATGCATATGATGGTGAGGCCCTATAGGATAGCAGAGCCTCAAATAAAAGAGACCTGGGGCCCTGAGTCACTGTGTGAACAGCTGCCTGTGGAGCAAGAACTCCTCCTTAGGACTGATACATAAGCAAGATTAAAAAAAAAAAGTATTGAAGGGGTCTATTTGTTACTCCAGCCTCATTGACTGATACACTAGAGCAAGCTTAAGATATCTGTCAAGGGAGTCAGATCATTCTCAATTATCCTAGTACCAAATCGGGTATTTGTTGTGGAGTATAAAGGTCAGCTTCAAATGTCTCTCAGTCATAATTACCAGCTTGTATGTCACATCTGGTAGGGAACTATTAAAAGTATTGGTTTTGTCTGTCCTGATCCATGATCCATTGTGCTTTCAGTGAAATGAAACAAACTGTCAGAGCAGCTCTCTCCAGAGGAGCCAAAGACGCCTCCTTCCGCCCCTAAATTGGAAATCCTTGATCTAGGCACCCTGGGCTTCCGAATTTACATGGTCCGTACCACAAAGAATACTCCATCATTGTAGAACAATTCAGAATGTGTAAGACTCTGTAAAAAGTCAAAAATGTAGAACTTCTTGTTGTCTTTTTCAGGGGATCAAACATACAAAATTCTGTCTCTTATGAAGATGAGAGTACCAGCTATTTCTGTTAAGATGACAGGTTGGAGGGAAAGATGGTTTGGGCCAGTTAGTGCTCTTTTTCTCTCTCCCTCCGTTTTCTCCCTGTTTCATCACACCTTCTTTCAGCATCCATCTGCTGCTGAGAGCTGCCCTCCTCTAGACACTTCCAGGAGTTCCATCCATTTGATGGTCTCGTCCTGTGGACTCAGGAAAGTGCTCATTTATGAGTCCATGTTTCTGGCTGCTGCCTTGGAAAGAACTTTTAGGATTTTTATGTCCCTTTTTCTCCCCCGCCACCCTCCCACTTTTTTTTTTTCTTTTGCTGTTATTATGTAACAATTATTGTTGAGTCTCAGCACCTCCCCTCCCCCGCCAGTTTCTGGATGGGCCCTGTATCTTTCCTCCAGGAAGGCAGCTGCAATCTTTCTCCCCGCCAGTAGAGGGCACCCAAAGACCACAACCCTGTGCCAGCCTAAGGTTTAGGGTTCAATTTTCCTTTCCATCAGGAGCAGGAAAGGAACAATAGTGGCTTGGAGGATAATGGAGTTTTCTCATTTTCCAATTCAATTCTTTTCATCATCAGTGACATTCTTCGGGCAACGACTGAAAAAACAAATGACTCCCCTCCCGTCCATATAACCACTCACAGTTTGCTTCCACACTCTGCCTCCTTCTCTATTTCCAGTAACTGTTTCCCCCTTAATTATGCATTTGCCAGAATAATCGGTGGAACATTGCAAGCTGGAGCATTTCCAAATCCCAAGATCCCACCACCCCAGGGGTCATCTCTGCACTCTCCTTAACAGGCGGCTTGCCAGCACACTTAACCATTCCATTGCACGCTGGAAAAATGAGATCATCTAGGAAGAAGATGCCCTCTTGAGTCCCCTCTTGTGCTCAAAAAGCAGCATTTGGATGATATGTTGCTGGCAGATTTTTACTTTAAAGGGGTGGATTGCAGGAATGGGTAGTGATTCTGCCGGATGTATTCACATTATTTACCATCTTCAAATAGGCTTTTTAACAGTTAAAAATGTGAGAAGAAGTAAAAGGGAAACTTGTTTGGGCCAATTATCTCTGGCTGCTGTGGAAAATTCAGAGGCTAAAGCTGCCACAGCCAGAAACAATATTTTTCTCCTGGTGCAGATTCTCTGGTTTATTCAGAATCATTAACTCCCATCAATGTCATCAAAGTACCAAGCACTTTACATTCATCCAAGACACAAGAGCCATGGCTTCTGGAAGTCAGGGAACATCAGAGAAGGAGGACTAAGATCAGGTAGTGCAATTTACTGATTGAATAAGCAGAGGCGCAAAAGCCTGAGGTCATCAGGCCTATGAGACCTTGTTTCTCTCAGTCTATGCTTCTGACCCCCCCATGCCTACTCTTATTGCCAACTGAAGTACCTGTCAGGGGAGTTGTGCCTTATTCTTAAATTTGTAGGAGGGAGCTGTATGCAATTCTAATCAGGAACATCTATTTGTCTGTCTGTCTATCTAGATATTCCTGAAATATAACTAAATATTTACTTTTTGGATACACACACATGTATCCTTTTTTGCAGGAAAAGGCTGCATGTGAATTCTCACCAAGAGAGGGCGCACATGGAACAGGAATTTTCTCTTGCAGACCATTTTACAGTCAGGGAAAAAAAAAAGGCTAACTCAAACAGATCACTGGAGATGGGAACTAGCAACTTAGCTATGCAGATAAGTCTTCATTTCCTATTGTTTTATATCCATGAGACCTTGGCCACCTTGTTAAGTCAACTGAGACTGTTTCCCATAAGACTCACAGAGGTCCCTTTAGGGATGAGGATTTTAACCCATAGCCCACCCTCAACCTGAAAACTGAGCTCACCTCCAAGTCTGAGAAAGGGAAAGAGAAACAAAAGAGAAAATTTTACCTAAAAACAACAAATCTCTCCAAATCACCCACAAAGGATCTGCAGACTCCCGTGGGGGATTTGGCAGAAGGCCATTTGGATTGCTTGGGGCAGGATGGGGTCCTCTTCAGAGATTGCCTGTGGTGGTGAAGATCAGGAGGTGGGGAGAGGAGGATTGCTGACCAATTCAGCTCAGGACAGTGAGTGCTGCTCTGGGAACTCAGATCCACTTCACTCCCTACTCTGCCATTCACAGAGGAGGCCTTGGGGTCCACCTTCTGCAACTGAAATGTTTGTGGAGGCAGGAGGCTTTCGTGGGAGCAATAGGGATGGGAAGCTCAGGGGCAGTGGAGCTCCTTCATGCAGACTGTTCCAGAGGCAGTTACAAATGCAGGAGAGCAGAAGGAATTGCTTGGAGGTAGAACTTTCCATCTGGGAACTGGAAATTGTCCAGGGCGGCAGAAATAAGTGAAGTTGTTTTGACCCTCTTTTGCGAGGCGAGTTCGCCATCAGATTCAGGCAGCTGGGCACAGGAAATCAAATAGAGATGTTCTATTCAGACCTAATAATAATGATCTGACTTTCCGGCTCTTCCCCTGGTCATTACTGTAGTTGAGACGTTTGTACTTACAGACTTCATTTCTATCTCCTTCCGGCCCATTTTTTTTTTCTCCCCCAAAGCACCTATTTTCTTAATCATGCAGATTTCTATCAGCTTTTGTTCCACAGTTCTCAAAATCAAGGCCAAACATCTGTCATGCCAGGACTTCCACAGTCCCCCACCCTGCCTTTCTCTTTTCTCTTCCTAGGCCCACATCTCCCAGCGTTCCTTGCTCAGGTGAGGGTTTACATGTAGATTCAGGCCCTTGCCTTCCCCTTGTGCCCTCTCTCTCCTGTTGGCTGGGCAAAGACTCACCAATTCATAAAAACTTGCTTCTGTCATCACCTTCCTTTGAAGTTTTTGTATCTCCCTAAGGTGGGTTCTCTGATACCTCTTTATATTATCTTAGCCTTGTGTCTACACCGGCCCCCATTTTTTGTTTTCATTTCTGTTTCCCAACTGAATTTATTATTCCTGTCTGGGATCCTACTTCCTGGCTGTGCCATTCATTATGAGTTGTGGCCCATAAATATTTGTGGCATTAATGATCTTCTTGTTACTTAACTTTTGGTCTCAATAAAAACGAGAGTGTTACGTGTCCGCTGACCCATTGGAAGAAATAAATGTCAGAGTAAAAACAAACAAAAAAACCCAATTAAATTATTTTTTTTCCTTTGAAACCCAACTCTACTTTGTATAGATGACTTTTATTCCCACGACTCATCAGTACACACAGTCATTGTTTTACATACACTCCGTGCTCTAGCAGATATAATTGTTTCAGAAGCGGAATGTAAACACTATAATAAGTGGAGACGACACAATCATCCGGAATGGGACCCAAGAAGGGACTAAACAAACTGGACAATGGTAAGATAAGGTTGAAGAGGAGGAGATAACATTCATGGGGACATTCGCCATGATGTGGACAGGTGTCTCTCCCTTCTGGGACCAGAATTTATTTTTAAACTCCATAGATGACATTGCTATGGAATAGTCACACCCATGGATTTTTGTGGTATTTCAAGACTTTGCTCATGTCCCAGTGTGTTTCCTCACTATTGCTCTTAAGTTCTGCTTTTTGAATTCTTTCTTTATCTCTTTTACTTGAAGCTTGGGTGTGGGAGGCCAGCCTTACACGTGACTGAGTTACACTCCCCGGCTGGGTGCTGAGGCTCTCAGTCACAGAAATGTGGCACCCTTCTTGGGTGTGAGGGTCGGTGTCTCGTGCATGGATGTGTCTTGCTACAGCCCCATGGGTGAAGCTATGCTCACCTGTTCCTTTGTAATATAACCCCTTGCCCTGTTTAGGATAGAATCTTCCATGGAAGTGCCTTGTGTGTGTCCCCTCCTCTTACTGTGCCCTTGGGTGTGGCCTACCCAGGTGTCAGTCAACCTGCTGACAGTGGACATCATGAAGATAGACTCAGCTCCCTGAAATTTGACCCCTTGCCTCATTTGAATGGCTTCTCCTCAATAAAAGGGGTCAGCGGGTGCTCTTGCTCTCTCTCTTTCTGTGGACAGAGGAGCTGTCACAGCGACCCCAAAGAAAAAGGTATTTGTGTCTCTTGTGGTTATTTCGTGCAGCCCAGTTAGCCCAGTTTAACTGGAGTGACCCCTGAGCCTTTTAGTCGTGAACAGAAACCCAGCAATTGGCGCCCAAGGGGGTAACAGATCTTATAGGACAGCACCATGTAGACAGCAGCTTAAATATTAGATATTAGAATACTAGATGTTACTGTCTTAAAATTCATCATCTATTCCCTGCCATAGGGAACGTCTTCCTGCTTTTATGAAGGGCTGGCCTTCCTTCTTGTAGCTCATATCTTTTCATCTCTCTTTTCTTTATACTATCTTGCCTGAGTTGGCTTTTGAGATTCAAAGTTCTTCTCCCTTAATTGTACAGAGCAATTAACTTTTAAAAAAATTTCTAGATCCTCCCAGACTATGCCTGGGGTGGAGTGGTTCAATGAGGTTCATTCTGTTTTAATGAACAGCATGTCCTCTCATCTGATGCTACCCTGAAAAGGTGCAGAAGAAACCACCATCTGCTCTTGTACTCCTTAGCAGTTTTCTTCTTCTGGATGCTCACAGAAACAATTGGTTTATACATTCAGAATTTTCTGGAACCAGAAGCATGGAAGTCCAGAATGTCTGATCTGTGAGCAATATTAGAACTGAAACAAATAGAGTATGTCCATTTTTTTTTCTTTTCTTATGTCTATAGATTTTCAACAGCTCGTCCTCATTACATAAAAGTCAGATGTGTAAAAACCACACGGGAAGCTAGTCTCATAGAATGAATATTAACTATGGTCCAAAAATGTGCCAGGGGCTGCCTATAGGCTTTCTTTAGCTCTGTTCTTTGTTACCCAATAATGCTTTAAGTTACTCCAGTTTAATGATTTACTTTTAGTGGAATTGAACTTGAATGTCTTATCATTACATGTATTTGGTTTGGGTTACAGTCACACACTTGTCCAACAAGTCCCACGAACTACATCATTGATAGTGGTCAGACACAGTAGTAGCAACGAGATACATGATAACTAGCTAACTGGTTAGAAAAATTCCTCAGGAATGATTAAAATAAGAATAACAACAACAATCATCACTTGAGTGTCCCTATGTGCCAGGTTCTCTCCTAAGCTCTTTCTCTAATAACAGCCTTGAAACAACCCTCCCTGTGAGGTATGCATGATCAGCACCCCAGAGTACGGCTAAGGAAGTAGAAGCACAAACAGTTTAGCTCCCTGTCTAGGGAAGGGAGACCCAGTAGCACATAGGTCTATAGTAGACCCAGTAGCCTATAGGTCTCATGCTAGATTCTCTTTATTTCTGATGAGATTGAAAGAATGAAAAGGCTAAAATTCACAGAAGTGAAGACACTTGTAAAGATGAAGCTTCACACCAGCTGACCCTCCCTTACTATAATACCTGCTCTCGTTTTCCCAGAAGTTTGGAGTTTCAGTTTCTGTGGAAAAGGGTATAGGTTTTGCAGCTATCTGGAGGCAATTAATAAATGGCCACTGGGCTGGGTTTGTGACTCAGTGGCAGAGCGCTTGCCTAGTTTGTGAAGCACTGGGTTTGATCCTCAGTACCACATAAAAATAAATAAATAAATAAATAAATAAATAATTGTGTGTGTGTGTGTGTGTGTACCACATATCTTGAAAATAAATAAATAAATACATGGCAGCCATAATACAGCAGTGGCTCCCTGGTTTCTTTGTTCTTAGGAATATCTAGCCATTATTCCAGAAAATAATTAATTATTAGGTATTAGCCTGTTCCTGATTCAGGAATGTTATTGGACATCACCATAAAGATTTCCACCACTGTGACCCTCTCTTCAGCCTCATAAAAGCCATATGTTATCCCAATTGATAGAGATTGGCACAGAAAAACAAAAAGATACAATTCTCGACATGCGGTCATCTTTTAGTTATTTGAAACTCTTAGATGCCAAGCAACTTCTCTTTCTGGTCAAGCCACAAGTTAATTCAGATTAAAAGGGGTTGGGGAGGAGAAAAGCACTTGAAAAGATTTCTCCATTAGAGTTCCCAATCTGGTTTGAAAAAGCCACTTCAAAACCCAAGAAAGACTTTTTTGTTGTTGTTAATAACAGAAAGCAGCTTGAATTAGTCTAAGTAAGAAAGAAGAATTTAATATACAGGACAATATAATATAATGTCCTAGAAGCCAATGACAATGATGCAGCTGTGACTCAAAAAAGATTAGAAATGGAAAACCATGAGCAGCCCAGAAAACAGGGTTTCTCTATTTTTTCATTTCTGCTTTTCTCTCAGAATGTTTTTCATTTGTTGTCTTTGCAAATCAGCTGTAACTCATCTGCTCCTAAGACGATCACTATGTCCCAGTTCTGAGTTTATATAGTTTCTTATGAGTGATTCCATATTAAGATTTTACTCTCTGAGTCACAGTTATAAATTCCCAAGGAGGGGCTCTGATTGGCTCCGTTTTGTTGTGGTGCTCAGCCATTGTCCAATCAGCTGAATCCTAGGCAATGGCTTTCTATAGCTAAAACGTGGCTTCCAGAGTCCCATCCCTGGGACCCAGGGGAGCAGAGTGGAGAGCCGTTCTCAGAGAAGGGGGAATTGTGAGCTGGACAAACCCCACAAAGGCCTCTTCTATTCCTATGTCACTAGGTCTCTGTATAAAGTCAGCCCTTAAAAATTCAAGGACTATGTTGAATTCAAAGACAAGGGTCCCTTCTCTCTAGCTAGGCATATTTTTAGACGAGATCATTTGCCTATGTAATTAGAGCAACAAATTTTCAGCCGGGCGAAACCAAAATGTTGATTTGAGTCTGCTGCTGCAAACCATCAAATATAATGGATCCTAAAGCTAAGTGGAAATATTTTGGATTATGTTTGACACCACACCCATAATTTGTGGGGATAATTGAGATGCATCCAAGCTTTGAGTCTTGCTGATGATATTTAAGAGTTAGCTCAAATTAGACTACTACATTTCCTGCTGTAATTGATGGTCAGATCCCTGAAGACTGCAAGGGTTTTCAGATGCCTGCATACAATTATACAAAATTAAGCCGGGAGATGCATGCATGGAGAAAGAGGAGGTTCTTGTTATATTTCTTATGTGTTTTTTATATTCTCCTGAGATTTGAAAGAAATTTCAGAGATCAACCAGACTGATCCTCTAATTTTTACAGGTGAAAACAGAAGCACAGAAGAGAAAAATGGCCAGTGTGCT